TATAATTAAATAAAGCAATTTTATTTGGTATGAACAACTTGATCAGAGATCCATACGAATCTCTATGCATTTTTTAAATCACATACGTACCCAGTTTGTTTTTTTTATGGAGGAAGAATATGTAGAGGAGCGCAAAAGGTAGCTTGTTTCAGCCAAAAGAGAAAGGAAAATAAATGAGATATTTTATTTTAGTACTAATATATGAAAATGTACAAATGTTATTGAGCTAATGAAAAACAAATATCTATATATATATATATATATATGTATATATGTGTATATATGTGTGTATATATATATATATATATATATATATATATATGAAAATTGTAGAACCGTAATATGAAAAATGGAAGAAGAATGAGAATGCCAAATGCATTACTTCCATTGCTAAAGAAGGTAGTAATGCATTATTTAATCCGAATTAAACAAAAAGATGAAGTTTCAGGTAAGTCACAAGACACATATTGTGATAATGAACCATCACATAATTTAAGAAGAATAAATGTTAAAAAACTTTGTGGACAATGAACCATCACATAATTTAAAAATACTATTAATAATATTTTTTTAATTTAAAATAATATAAAAATGTATAGAAATAATTAAATTTTTATACATACATTTTAAAAATAGTATAGATAGATAAGAATATTACATTGAAAATTTAAGTCACTATGAAACTGAAGTTGGTGAACGTCTGTTTTAAAAACAAAAATGATGCTATTTTATTTTTTTTCATTTTTGTTTTCTTTTTGTTGCTTGTATTTTATTTTATTTTTAAACAAAAATAATAAGTTTTTTTTTTTTTTTTTTTTTAACATCTTTTTGTTTCCTTTATTTCTTGTTTTAACCTTTCTGGAGGCATTAACCATTACATATAGTTGATATAAATGTTAATAAAATTTCTAAATTTAAAATAAGAAAAAATATTTGAAAATTGAGAAAATGCCTAAAGTTGGGTGGGCACGTGTTTTGAAAAACAAAAAATGGTACATTTTTTCCTTTCCCTTTTAGTTTTCTTTTTTTGTTTGTTGTGTGTGTGTGTGTGTTTTTTTTGGTACCAACTTTTTTTTTTTCCTTTTACAATATGTATATATTTTTTCTATTTGGAATAATGTGAATTAGGCTCTAGAAATTTTTGGGAAGGAACAGGTTAATTTGCTTTTAAATAATGGGAATATTATAATTTTTTTTTTATTTTAAAGTTTTTTTCCTTTTTTATACCAAAGAATCTGAAGAATAAAAACTATAATTAATTTGATTTAAAAATACTTTTAATATCCTTTTAATATAATATATAAAAAGAGTTGAAGAATCTGAACAATCAAATAGTGTAATTAATCGAATTAAAAACATGTTCTTTTGGCCACTCGACTTTTTTTCATAAATATTAGGTCATATATAATATATGCATTTATATATCCCTATCTATACCATTAATGAGGCATGAATTATTATGTTTTAATGAACTTTTTTATGTGAGAAAAAAAAAATGTTAATAAATCACGTATGGATTTATGATACGGTTTCTGTTTTCTTATAAATTTATAATGAATAGAAATGCATGATATATATTGGTTCATATATATGTATATATACACATATATTGATAAAGGGTTTAAACACACACACACACACTATATATATATATATATATATATATATATATATATATATATATATATATAGATGAAATTTCTTCTTGTTATAAAGGATTCAAACAGTTCTATTAACATCTGTCAATTTTCTATAGTCAACAAATTGATGTAGCTTGGATTAGCTTCCCATTATCATATTTCCAAGAAATAATATTTTCTAAAGTTATATATTGTATGAAAAATTAATCATTTTTTTTTTGTTCTCCTTTGAAGAATCATATTTCTCATAACTATATTTCCTAAAAGTTATATTGAATCTTATTTTCTAAAATTGGTAGTTTTCTAAATTACATTAAAATAATATTTCCTAAAATTAGTATTCATTTGCAAAATAATTAGTTGTCTAATATTATATACAATAAAAATAATTATTATTTCTAATTATTTTTAATTTTTAAAAATATAAATTAATTTTTAAAAATATTTTAATTTTTTAAATTTCTTTATTTATTTTTAATTTTTAATTTTTTTAAATTTTTTTTATTTATTTTGAAAAAAATTATTATTTATTTTTTTTAAAAAAAAATTAGTTATTTTTTATTTTAAATTATTTTTTTCAAAAGATTTTAAATTTTTTTAAAATTATTTAAAATTAATTTTAATTATTATTTAAAATTATTTTTTAATTTTTAAAATTATTTTTTAATTATTTATTTTTTTTAGAATAAATTTATAGGGAGAAATTTAGAGAGAGGGGATTGATGAGATACAAATTTAGAAAGAGATGATTGTGAGTGAGAGAATTTTAGAGAGAGAAATGAGTTGAGTGCAATATAGAATAGATATGTATTGTGTGTTTATTATGTGATAGGTGAAATATGGGTTGAATAGGGTTAATTATATTCAACCCATCTTGATCCTCAAATTAAGTAGTTAAAAATTACTTAACCCATTATGACCCTAAAATTAAATATTGTTCACCCATAACGTTAAAAAGTGGATGAATATGGATGGGTTAATAATTCTTGACACATTTTGCCACCCATATACAAAATGTAGCCTATATAAAATTGAATGATTACCTTCTCGTGTGGAATTGCTCCTTGCACTATCGTTTGTTGTAGATAAATTATTGGCATTGGCGATCCTTAGGAGAGGACGATCAAAAGGTAAATCCCAGCCTCAAATGCAGAGATTTTTTTATTTCAACTGTAGAAGAATATTATATTCATGGGTAAAGCACAGTCACACCCCCTGAGGTTTGGTAAAAGGACATTAAGAGAAAACTTATCTGTTTTTTGGACAAAGACACCCCCTGAAGGTTAAAAAATGGACAGACACCCCTTTGCATGAAAAATTGACCAAATTACCTTTTGACCGTTTATGAGACTTTTTTAACTTTACAATTTAATAAATTAGACTAGTCTACCCTCATGAATTATTTATGGATAAAAAAACTTCATATTGTTTTTTTTTTTTTTTTTTTAATTTACTTTATAAATGTCCCAACTTCTTAAAAATGTAGACGTCTAAAATGATTTTTTGATTCAATACATAAATTTTAAATAAATTATATTTTGTTATTACTTCTTTTCTTTTTATTTTTTATTTTTAAATTAAGATGCTTAATTATTTCATTTAAAAAAATTAAACCAATTTCTTTTCCTTAAAAATAAAAAATATGGTACCAGTATAACTTTATGCATCTTAAATTATATATCAAATATTATGCATTTCCCAACATAAAAGTAAATATGTACCATCTTAACTTCATGCATGCCTTTTTATTTTTATTTTTATTTTATATTATTTTTTTCCCTTTTATGTTGGGAAATGCATAATATTTGATATATAATTTAAGATACATAAAGTTTTACTGATACCATATTTTTTATTTTTAAGAAAAATAGATTGGTTTAATTTTTTTAGATGAAAGAATTAAGCATTTTAATTTAAAAATAAAAAAGAAAAAGAAAAGAAGTAATAACAAAATATAATTTATTTGAAATATATGTATTGGATCAAAAAATCATTTTGAACGTTTGCATTTTTAAGAAGTTTGGACATTTATAAAGTAAATAACAAAAAAAAAAAAAAGGTGAATAATATAAAGTTTTTTTTTTATACTTTTTTTTATGCATAAATTTTTCATGAGGGTAGATTGGTCCAAGTTATTAAATTGTAAAGTTAAAAAAGTCTATTAAACTGTTAAAGGGTAATTTGGTCAATTTGTCATATAAAAGTGGTGTTTTTATTCATTTTTGAACTTTTAAGGGATATTTTTATCTAAAAAATAAATAAATTTTTTTTGAATATTTTTTTACCACAAACTTTGAGAAGTGTCACTGTATTTACCCGATATTCATTTGTCAGAAGTTTCAAAAACTGTTATACAATATGGTTCAGAAAAATGTGAGTATGACCCGTGACATGGCAGCTGTCACAAAAGACACAATTGCAGTCTACAACTTTATTCTTGGAAAAAAGAAGATAGGCGCGTTTCAGTGGCTAAAGGAGACTGAGATGCCACTGTGGATAGCAACCCTCAAATTATAAATCCTTCATTCATTCAAAAGCAGAGCCAATTGAGCTCAAACACGAGTTATGGTGTCCTCCTCCTCATGGCTACACAATGGGTCTAAATCTGCTCCTCCTCATGGCTGTGTTGTCCACCAACATCGTCTCTCCACCACCATCCAACACCTCCACACCATCAACCACCTCACGCGCCTCCGCCCCACCACCAAGCCCACCATCCCATCTGACCTCCTCTGCACCGACATCTCCCCCATCGCCTCCTCTTGTTGAGATCAACCTGACGTCCTCCACCAGCACACGAACTACACTCCCTACTCTCTGTCCCCTCGCCGAAACCCTAATTCTTCGCGGCTGCCACCCTTTTCAGCAAAAGTGGGAATATTTTTACACCGTTGATCGAAAATTGGTACAATAAGGGGAAATGAGATGTCGGAGTAGTGGGAGTCGTCGGTGAACTGGAATGCCGGCAACGATTTGTGAGAAATGGTGGGTCGTTGCTGCAAGGGGTGGTGCAACACTGCAAATTTTATATATATATTAAAATAAGCAGCCAATAGGCTACTGACACGACGACTGTCCTTCTGCAGTTACCATTGCTCATAAGTTTTAATTTCAGCCATTAGATTTAAAAGCATCTCAACCGTTGGTTTGTAAAAGTTGAAACAAATGATAACCCTATAAGGTTAGATCTAGAAGCCTGCAGCAGGGCGTGTCAGATGTACTAATTCAGTACCACCACCACATGAAGAGCCCTCCGCATACGAGATACAACTCCCTGTCTCTCTCAAACAGGATTTTTATGGTGCGATTGCGAGTGCGAGGCATCTGCAGTGCGAATCTACCTTAAGATCTTGTAAGTTGTGCTTTCATCATGAAATTTGTACTCTTTTTCCTTCTTGTAGATCGGATTTCGTGATCGATCGATCACGTTAAAACTTAAAACTGTCTTATAGTTTTCTTAACAGATTGTTTTTTTTTTTTTTTTAGAACAAGTTGTCTTATATAGTTTTCTAAAAAATTTGTTTTTTATTTTTATAAAAAAAAAAAAAATTTTCTCGGAAGATGCTTTTAAAAAATTGAACCTATCAAGTTGTCTTAATCCTAATAAGACAAAGGAAACGTATTATTATTACTTTCTAGTAGAAACCCATTAGTACTTTCCAAGTTGGTACAATGGCTATAAAATTGGACCAGCCGTGCCAATTATTATTATTATTATTACTACTACGAAGTACAATAAGACTTGTATAAGAAATCCAACCTCTTTTTTTTTTGAATAGTGAAATTTTAATAGTTTTTTATTCTAATGATAAGGGTGAAGTTCTATGCCTTATTATAACATAAAATAGTGCTCGAAAATTAGTGTAATTTTTTAGTTAAAAGAAAAGTTTAGAAATATTATAAAAAATAGTAAGGACATATTTTTTATTTTTTTTTAAGACATCCCAATATGAATAATTAAGGAAGTATATTTTGAATAATTATTTTTGGATAATTTTTTTTGAGTATATTTTTTTATTTGAAAAAGGGTATCAAGTTGGCTTAATCCTAATAAGACACAGGAATCATATTATTATTACTTTCCAAGTTGATAGAAACCCAATTTAACATTACTTTTCAAGTTGGTGCAGACCCAAGTTATTATAAAATTGTTCTCTTTTCTTCTCCATCGAATAAAGCTAGCAAAAATTGGTGTTGTTTGTTTATACACAACAACAAAAAAAAAAAATTTGCTCTCTCTCTCTCTCTTGTTTGGGTTTTATATCTCTAATCGGCTCATCTTCTCCTCCTCCTGCTATTCTGCAAATTTTATATATTAAATTATGCAGAAAACGGTAAGTTCAAATCCCATGGAGAAAACCACCTCAACATGTTGTGCTCAAAACACAAGGTACTATCTCTTTTATATTTTTTATTCTTAAATAAATGAAGAAATTTTGTTACAAAAATTCAACACTACTATGGTGTTTATGTTATCTCACATTTTTTTTTAATTATTATTATTATTAATAAATTTTAATCTTTAATTGGAATAGTGAAAAGGATGATAAAGGAGGGTTGTGTTTGGAGGATTACATTAGTGGACTTCCTGATGTTATACTTGTTTCAATCTTGTCACTATTGACAATGAAAGAAGCTGGAAGAACAAGTCTGTTATCAAAGAGATGGAGATACACGTGGACATACATTGCTGGTTTGAACTTTGATTCCTTACCTATAAGATATGGGATTAAACTCAGAGAAAAGAAAGTTGAAGTAGAAAGGCCATTGTATTTGAGTTGGGTTAATCAAGTCTTGAAATCGCATAACGCGCCAACTATAGATGAATTCAGAGTTCAATTTGATCTTGATGAAACTTGTAGACTTGATATTGACAATTGGGTTAACTTTGCAATGGAAAAGAGAGTTAGAAGGCTTGAGTTAGACTTTAAAGAAACTTTGTTGTATAGGAGAGAGGAAGAGGATTACAATTTTCCTATTCCAGATGGTATTACAAATCACCTACATGGGTTTGCTAGCTGCAACTCCTTGACCAATCTCCTGCTGAGAAGAATCAATGTAACCGGACAAGTTCTCGAGTTCTTCTTAATGAACTGTCCATTTTTGGAACAATTGTCTGTGAAAGAATCTGATGGTCTCGTAAATCTAAAGGTACCTGATTTATCACTCAATTTGATGCGTTTGGAGATATCTCACTGCTTCAATGTGGAAAGTATTGAGATTTCTGCAATGAATCTCATGTCTTTTAAGTACTTCGGACCAAAAATAAGCTTGCCATTTAAGAATGTCCAGCCACCTATTGATTTGTTTATCGGGGGTGAGTATTGCGATTATCTAATATATAAGTTTTTGGAGATTTCAAGCTATCTTTCTCAGCTAGAAAGCCTTGAGCTGCAGATGACAAGCATGATAGAGGTTAGGAAGTTTAACTAATTCATTTGATCTCTTCCTCTTCATTTTTATTTTATTCTTTTTACTTTTTAGCCTAGCCGTGCTGATTTACTTTTTCTTTGGTTTATGTAGAATAGTCTTGAAGATGCGAAATTTCCTATATTAAATAAACTCAAGCGACTGGAGTTGATAATTAGTGCAGCTGATGATGAAGACCTTCTTGTTTTTGCTCCCCTGATAAAGGCATGTCCTTTCTTGTCTAAATTTGTGGTTCAGGTAATAAATTTTACTTGACAATCTCATTTCTAAGTTGCGAGGTTTATTGCGATTGAATTTTCAAATGGAAATTTTGATTATTTTGGACTTCAGCTTAAAGCTTTCAATTTTCCAATCAATTGCTCTTTATTGCTATTACAAAATTACAATATTACCATTCATAGGAAAAAGTTTAGCTTAGCTTGCTCTATTTTCGTGATTGTTCAAGTTTTTTTTTTTTAACAGAATGTTTATCATTATGTTGTTTCCTGTGTTGGTTTAATTTTTACTACCTTCATCTTTTAATATGTTACACGTTCTTAGATTGCTTTATTTTCATTGTTGTTTAAGAACTCCCGAATTAGGACCTCTTGAAGTCTCAAACCTTATCCGGTTAGATTCAGTCTTATTACTTTTAAGAACAGTGTGAATTCCTTTTTAACGCAGTCTTTTCTTATGTCTAACGCGATTGATTTTGCCAGGGGTGGTTATTCCATTTAGTCTGGCAATGTTGTGATTCTAACTTTGAACAGTTGGCAATGTTGTAATTCTAACTTGAACAGTTGTGATTTGATGTTTGATAATTTGGTTTTTTATGCCAATGGTCTTCAGTCATATGCATAACAGCCTTGGAGCTTGTGGTGGCTATTCCATTGATTCTAGCAATGTCGTGGTTTTAACTTGAACAATTATGATTTTATGCTTGGTAATTTGGTTTTGTATGCTAATAGTCTGCCCACCATATGACTCCATTCCTCCTTATTACAGCTGCATTGGTACGAGCCCCTTGGGAAAAGAAGAAAACATTTTGAGTTTACATCTTGGCCCCATCAGTATCTCAAGGTGGTGGAATTCAATGGTTTTGTTGGATGTACAAATGATGTTGAGCTTGCAATGTATTTAATTAAGAGTGCTGTCAATCTTGAGAAGATTACTTTTGATCCTCGTCACCCCCTTCTTATAGGAACTCCATGGGAGTTCATGGAGACCAAAAGGAAAAAAGCAGCAAGAAAGCGCGCCAAGAAGCTTGGAACCAAACTACCCATTGGAGCAGCTTTGGTAATTCTTTAATTATTTGTATAAAGCTATTTCTCCTAAATCCTTCCCTTTGTAAGCTTATTTGGTATTATATATTGAATAGTTGAACCTGGGGAAAAGGCATTAGTAGAGAGTTTTTTCATTAATTTTATTTTTACTATAATATCATAATTTTATTTAATTTTCCTTTTCATTTAGTGGCTTCCTTGTTAATCGTTTATTTTTCCTTTTCCCTAAGCTGAATCTAAAAGACGTTTTGAATTTTTTTTTTATCTGTTAGAAAAACAGAGTACTTCCTAGTGTTTCCTTAAATTCAATAGTAAATACAATATTCAATAACATAAATAAGAGAAAGGCTCGAATCAATTCTCCATTATACATTGTGGGAACAAAACTATTGGATGCATCCATATGTAAATATTTGGTACACTAATATTTTATAAGTTGGCACTTAAAACAACAAACACCGCGTATCCTTCTAATATGCAAATATCTAATAATTTGACAATAGATATGTAGAGTCAAACAAGCACAGAATAGAAGAAAATTAATACTACGTTGGCCGCTTCCAAGGTTTTTATATTGTACTTAGAATTATTATGCGACCAACAGATGAAACCTTAAAATTGCTTCTTATAAAGATTATTCAACTTACAACACAATACAAGTACAAGTAGTAGAGGCCCAAATCAAAATCTACATCATGCCAGGAAAACAGGATATGTTAATTATGTGATGAGTGTGTAGAATACCCACCGCATGAGGCTATCATTGGGTGCTCCGGATCCCTGGCTATCGATCTTGTACTTCCAGAACATTTCCCCAAGAAGCATCCTAATAGTTAAATCTTGGCAATTTACCAAATATATAAATCTCAGTATGATAGGCTTCACAACCAGGTCCAACAAATAATGGTCATGCTTCTTCAAGGTTTCAAACAAACTGATTTCGAATATTTTTTGGAAAAAAAAGAAAAAGAAAAATTGAATATGGCCTTCGATGAGTAGCAAAATCATTCCACGTGTGAAAACTCCATAAGCATTGTAAGAGTATAATGTGTGCAAAATATGACCAGCAATCAACAATGGGAAGCAAAAAAATCATAATAGACAAAATATGATCAGCTTAGAAGTACTACCTTACAAGTTGGGTTCCAGGAATAATGCATTTGTGTATGTGCAAATTCACATGGTGCTGACAATATTAATCATCCCAGACAAGTTGACAAACCTACCAATGAATTAATTTACTGTTAAGGTATTTGAGGATGTATTGGAAGTATTTGGGGGGCAAATCAACTACAAATAACCAAAATATAAACAAAGACTCCCCAATTTTATCATATTTTTTTATACCCTGTAAACATTTTGAAGTAGGGAATTGTTCTACATGTACACTTGTCAAAGCACAAAAAGTTGAAAGGAACTCATCAAGACATCAACAAAAGAATTCCAATCCAAGATGGAAAAGGTTAGAAAAAAAAAAAAATAAAGTACAAAAAATTGAAACCTTTCTGATTCTCAATAGATCCAAGCTTCTAACCTACCTAATACTTCAAGTCATATATATATATATATATATTCACCACACAGATCACATCATCAAAGATGAAACAGGACAGACAAAATTGTAGGAGTTTAAACAATAAGGATTTAGAGGGAGAGGACCTCCTTGTGATCTTCCAACACTCTTGTGGTAAATCATCCAAAAAAACAATAAGAAAAAGTTAAGGTTTTCACAAATACTACTTTCCCTTTAACAAATAAGCTCAAAACAAACCATATGGAAGAGTTCTGTGTTTGATTTTCCAAAAAAACTGAAAGAAGAATTAGGGTTTTAAAAGAAAATCAAATAAATTTTAAACGAACTCCAAAATCGAACAATATTAACATACCATTACTGGATTTCCAACCAAAAAACTGCAAAAAAAAAAAAAAAAAAAAAAAAAAAACAGTCCACATGTTGAACTTTAATCAAACAAAAATGGGTCAAACCCGGTTTCTTCAAAGACGAACCACTGTCAAACGAGTAAAGAATTTCAGATCGGTGGTGGTTTCCCAGGTTTATTCAAAGATGAACCATTGTCGAACTAGTAAAGAGCTTCAAATCGGTGGTGGTTTCCGGTAAAAAAGCTTGGATCGATCGTCGTTTTCAGGCCCGAGCCACTGTGCAGTCAAGTCGCCCTAATCGCCAGAGGAGAGCTTCGCGAGATACAACCCTAATTTGTTGCAACTTCTTCATTTTATACCTACCCTAATTTGTTGCAACTTCTTCATTTTATACCTGTCCTAATTTGTTGCAAGTTTGGCAACTTTGTTGCCTCCGCTACAGTATGTTTTGGGCTAATCAGCATTCAAAAAATGATAAAACACCTAAATGGTGTTTCACTTTTTGGGCCAAAAAAGCGATTTGCTTTGATACTGCTGGCAACAAAACAAGTCCATCCAAAAATGGTGTGGGCCCAAAAAAAAGGTTACTGTAGCAGGCCTGCAACAAAACAACCAAACACAATCTATATACCAAACAGGCCCTAAGGCGATTGCAATAGCATAGGTTGATTTTAAAAAACATAGTTACTACAATCCAATAATACCTACACATCATGCATCAAGTAAAATACATTTAATTTAATAAAAACAAAGATAAATTATTACACAACAAAACAACCCAACACAATCTATATACCAAACAGCCCCTCCTAAGGCATTTTATTGCAATAGCATATGTTGATTTTAAAAAACATAGTTAATACAATCCAATAATACCTTACACATCATGCATCAAGTAAAATAGATTTAATTTAATAAAAACAAAGATATATTATTGAAAAGTAAAGCAGATATAACTACCAAGCAATAGCTTGAGCGATATCTCCTCCACTTTCAATTCTCAAGAGGTCACCAGTCCAAGTCATTGGGACAAAGTGAATGTACAAGGTACACACTGTATCTCATGTAGAGGGGGAAATTGGAGAAAAAAAAAAAAGAAAAAAGAAAAAAGAAGAGCAGATACAGCAAATTAAGAACACAAAAAGCCTTTAAAAGCAAAAAACGAAAAAATAAATGCATGCCAAGCCTGGAACTAAGCTACTAGGGATAACAGCATTTCAAAACAATAATATATGTATAAAAAAATAATAATAATAATCGGCAGATAAAAAGAGCCCTTTAAAATTTTGGAACGTAAGGATCCCCCAAGTCAGATATCCATTTCCCTGTCAGTCAACAATAAATTCAAGCCAATCTAGGAAGTCCGATCAAATTTATTTGAAACAAAAGATGAATTTCATGAATAAATTGCGAAATTCAACGTATGCTTTGAAACCTTACTTTGCCTAACCAGCAACAATAAAATTTGCATTGGACAGACTGCTGGTAAAACCCAATAGGCTTAGCTTTTATCTGACCAAATAAAAGCGGAGCATCTCTTTTTCTAACAGCATTCTCCATCCGAAGTATGTAGAATTTAGTAAAAGGAACTGAAAATTTCACCAATCCCTTGTTTATTTGAACCAGCAAAAAAATGAACTACCATATGAAAGCAACTGTCATAATCTCCACGGTAATAAAATCTACTCCAACAATAAGATCCCTAGGAAACATGAAAGCCTGAAGTGTAAGTTACAGAGAAAGACTTCCATATACTCCTGTAAGGCGTAAAAGCGAACTGAAGGTGAAGTACTTAACCCCTTGATCGTTACTGTGATGAAAAGCTAGATAAAAAGCTAAGCATGAACTGAGAGTGGCATTTGGAGGAATTTTTACATAGACAATAAAATCATATGACTCAGGAAAGTTTCTAATGAACTAATCAAACTCAATTTATAAAATATACCATATAGACATATAGTCATCATAAACAGAAATAACAAATGAAATACAGTTAATACAATCAAATAATACCTTACACACCATGCCTCCGTTGTGCTCTTTGGATGCTTTTTTTTCTTTTTACATGCAGTGACTAGTCTTCCCCATTAATTAATATTTCATCTACATCTGGTGCTTCAATAGGAGGTACATCGCCAAAAACTTCTGTTTAAGCAAAATTCACATGCTTAGACCAATCAGAATTGAAATCCATAAAAAATTAAGTGTACAGGATATATATCTATAAACGACATGTCAATGCTCTTGCCTTTTGGCTTTTAATTTGCTCTTTTTCTTAGTTTTACTCTTCTTGCTTCAGCTGTTTTCTTTGGATGTCTTTTTTCTTTTTACAGGCAGAGATTCTTCCCCACTGATTAATATTCCATCTACATCTGGAGCTTCAATGGGAGGTAAACCGCCAAAAAAGATCAAGTTTACAGGATTCCTATATATTCAGCACAAGGAAAAAAAAAGGGCAAGCACAACAAAGAAGAGGCGGAAAACAGGAGCTAGCAGACTATCAAGCCAAGCAAGGGGAGAAGTCCAATCCAAACCTAACCCAAAGACAAGATCCGGAAAAGTCCATGATAGGACATGCAGCAGAAGTTTAACTCTTTAGACCAAGGCGGCGGAGCAAGGTTGCTCCCGGCGTGGTAGCGGTGAGGTTCATATTTAGACCAAGGCGGCGGAGACGGCAGGTTCAGCAGTGGCGAGGTCAGGCAATACGGGACAGAGGGGGAAAGAAAATTAGGTCACAGGGTGTTGAAATTACATTCCATCCACAGTTTTAATGATGTGGCAGGTTGTAATAAAGGTTTTTTTTATCCAAAAATAGGGGATGTGTGTATATATATATATACACACATATAGTTTTAATGATGTGTTTTTTTTATCCAGTATATATTGTATTATATATATATATACACACACACATATAGTTTTAATGATGTGTTTTTTTATCTAGTATATATTGTCTTATATATATATATATATAGATAGAGAGAGAGAGAGAGAGAGAAGCGTGCTTATAAGCCTGCCCTTATACAAAGAGATTCCCGTATAAGAAGTTTTTGGGGGGTGAATTAGAGAAAAATAAAGTGAGTAATTTTCAGCTTAAAAGCAAGGGTGGAAAAGTCTTTGCTATTATAGTAAGGGTAATTATGGTAATTCATGTTAAAAATGACTTATATCATTGGAAAACATTATTGATTGGGATTGACTATTATCAAAAGAAAAAAGTGTTACAACGAAGCTAATCTTGAAAGGGATTTTTGTAAATTTTGAAACATAAGAAATATGTTCTGTAATTACGCCTAATCTCAGAAGAGGTAAGTGAAATTATTCATTTATAAAATCACGCATCACTAAAATATCTTAAAGACAAAAACCTAGGGTTCATGATTTTCAAAATGTAAAATTATCACTACTGTCTACAGTGAGTAGTTAAATATATAATTATTTAATATCAAATTCACTATGTAGACATTAAAATGTCCAAATGCATATTTAAGATATATATATATATATATATATATATATATATATATATATATATATATATATATATATATAGTATATCCAAGTGAATCCCATTTGTTTTCAGAAAATAAAACCATTTTTTAAATTTGATTGCAATTTTTTGAAATTTTCTAAAATAAATATTATTTTAGAATATTGTAAAATCAAAAAGCTTTGTGGATGTTTCGGGACATAATAGAATTTCTGATTTTATAATCTGAGTGACGTAGACTCACATGGAGGGCCTTTTCAAAAATTATTTTAAGAAATACTTTAAAGATATATATTTTGCAAAAAATCTAATTTCAAAGGTGACCTATCAAACCTGAACTCAATGTTAGGTGGAGATTTTACTAATTTCCACACAAGGTCCCTACCACAAATTTTCATTTGTCACTCTAAATTTACATTTCAACGAGCATCATTCCATTTTAAACCCACAATTTTCGAATCACTTTTATTGGAATAATTGCGGTTCAAAATCCAAAAGTGACACATATTTTTACTAAAATTAAAGTACAGCTGAAAAACAAAGCCCTCTTATAAACATTACTGCATGATTGGTTACAATGAACTACTTTTACCATCACAGGTTTTTTCAATTTCAATCAAATAACTTCAATTTTTTGCTCAAACTTAATGTGTGTGATCTAATTGATAAGGGCACAAAAATCATTATTTTTATATACTCAATATTTATATTGTGTAAATCTGATTATATCTATCTTTTATGTTTTATATGTATTAATTAGAGATTGAGAAGGAATGACGCAAAAATGGAGAATAAGAATTAAAAGATGATATATAGTATTGGGGCCAACTTCGGTAGACTGTTTTCTGATACTAGAAGAGGTCTCTGTTTCGACTTGTTGCTCCAGCACTAATGCCTTGATTTTTTCGAATGAAAATTTCGAAGCTAGCATGTGCAACCAAGCCTATCTAAAAGAACGACCAAGGCCCCGGGGTTTTACCTAACCAATGGAACCCTTCTAGCCGAGTTGCTGTGTCATTTATTTGAGATACAGTTTTTTGATCTGATTAGTCAGAGTGGATAAATAACAACTCTAACTTTGGCCATAATAGGAAACTAGCATATAAAATAATAATTTTGGCGAGAAAATAGAATTTTTCTGTATTTTTTAGTAAATAATTTTTCGTTTTTTACAAGGTTTATTTATTTATTTTTTTCGTTTCTTACTCGATTACTGGATTAGGCAACATGCCATTTGAAAAGATTCCTGTAGGCCCACCATTACAAGGATGGAAGTTAAAGCCCGCTTCAACCCAATATAAGGCTAATTGAGGCCCGGTCCAATTTTTTTTCCACTTAAGGCTTATGGGAGTTGAGAGCTTCAATCTGGATTGGTTCGTTTATCTGATCCGAGCTTTTAACTATCTATTCATATGCCGCCCTAGTCGAGCTGAAGAGCACATGCCGATGTAGGCTTCTGGTTGTAGGGCTTATTCTTATCTCTTAACTTTACCAAATCAATGGTTGAGATGGATTAAAATCTAACGGCTGAGATGAAATCTTACTAATAAAAAGATATGAGTTGGACCAAAGTTGGGCCAAACTTGTACTCATATGGCTAAAACTTGTAACCTATAAGCTAACAAGCTTCTTCACTTTAAGCTTGAACCCAGCTTTTAATTTTAACTTTAAGCTTAAATTTAGAATACAAAGAAAAATAATTCAACTGAATTCCCAATTATGAAGAGCGCTTATTGTATGTTAGTAAATTAATATAAATATAAATTTAAATCAATCAAATTTTCTCAAAAAAAGAAAGGGCAAATTACAATGACCTCCCCTGAAGTTTGGCCTAATTGCAGCTAAACCTAAGATTTGCCATTTTGTTGTAATGTGTTCCCCTGATGTTTAACCAATTTTGCAAAGACCTCGCCTCTGTACAAAAAGTGACCAAAATGCCCATATTATTATTAAATAACAAATATATATATATATATATATATATATATATATAATAATGGACCAAAGTACCCTTGTATATAAAGAGAGATCAGACTCATCTCTCTCAAACTCCCCCTACCAGTGGACCATCTTTCTCTCTCTAACTCACCTACCTCTCACGACCAGAGGTTGAAGTTTACAGTAACACCACATGTTACGAATTGGTTCCAATTTTTATACATTGAAGAAATATAATTGTAAATTAAGTACACATATTCACACTTATATTCACAATTACCTTCAATTCACCAGCAACCCCTACCCATAATCAACAATATGATTTTTAATTATTGGTTGGGTTACTTTGTTGCCATCTCGCAATGGAGGAAGCATGTGGAAGGGAAGTATGGCTAGGTGGTGGATCTATTTGGTTCAATGATGGTGGGTACAACATATATATATATATATACTGTAACCACCCAAGAAATTGCAGACAAGCCGTCATATATATATATATATATATATAAAAGATTGGGTTGGAATTTCAGAGTTTGTTGTAGGGCATATATATGATATCGATCTTAGCTTGATTCATGATATCGATCTCTGATCCACACTACCAGTGAGATCTTCGGACATTTGGGTCGATGGATGAATGTGTTTACACTCGATTTTCTATTTTTTCTTAGGTTTGATTCAGATGATTTCGCAGAGGCCAAAACCAACCTAAACTCCCAACAATCGCTAGCACCACCACAATTGGCGGTGGTGGGGGCGTTTCTAATGGTGGCAGACTGGCAGTGAATTTAGCCATATTTTAGTGGCGGTGGTGGAGGTTTTGACGTCTGTGATCGGATTTTCGATGAGGGATATGGCGGTGCATGTGGAGATCAAGATCCTGTTGTTCACACCGAAGTAGTCGCGTTTTGTCGGAACCAGAATCCGGCGTCAGAAAGGGAGTCCAGGCGGTCGAATACGCAGGAGGCGATGAATTCCGGCCAGGGGCTCTCTTTCCGATGCCGGAAACCTGCATCATTGCGTCCTTGCCGCTAAACCAGAATCATCGTCGTCGTCATGTCGAGATCAACCTCGACATTAACCCCAAACCTCGGTGCCTTCTTCGTTGCAGACCCAGCCATCCTCACCGCCATGGTTTCATCTATTGTAATGTGCAGGTGTGTGTATATATGGTTGGTAGCAACGGAGATGAAAGAGGAATAGTGGGAAATATTAGTGGGCAAAATGGTCATTTTTTATTTGTAGATATTTTTGTTTATTTTTAACAATATAATAAAGGGGTAGATAAGTAAATTTATAGCAAAATTTGATATAGGGGTGTCTTTGCAAAAAAATGGCAAACCTCAGGTTAAGTTGCAATTAAGCCAAAGGGGAGGTCATTGTAGCTTGCCCAATAAGAAACAGAATAAAAAAATTGTTTGCCATATATATTGTCACATTTTTGGAAAATATTATAGTTTGAATCTGGAAGGCTACAATGACAGTGACCTTGGAAGAAAAGATGGTTTGGCTGTGTCTCATATGTGGCAGGCAGCAAGGTGATAATCCAGTACAACTAATCCTAAACAACATACACATGAACCACACAATATAAAATCAGATTATACCACGATTAATTTTATGGAAACTAAACTATAATTGTCAGTGAGCTTAGCTTAGAGTACCAGGTGGGGAACCGACATAGAGAGGTGCTCCATCCATCTCTTCCACGGAAGTATGTCAATAGAAATATTAAAAGACAGTTAACTGCTGCTACTTCTTATTCTTACAGTAAATCTTGTAATCATGCAGCTTTTGCAGGATTGTCCCCTCCAACCAATATGAAAGTTGTTCAGCCAGTTTCGCGCTACCGCGCCACCCGCGCATCTTCATATAGCCTAGCACATCCACTACAGCTTCTGATGCTACGACAAACATGGTTTCCGCCATGAGAGGTTCCCACATTTCTGAAGCTCTCTCCATTCTGAAAATTTGAAGTAGAACAGTATAACTAAATAAATAAAACACCACATTAAGGCTGCTTTTCCTCTACAAATTACAACACACGCCAACAGAAAAGTAATGTTGAAGCCAAGGATTTGGGAGGTTTTCAATCAAGCTCTCTTAGCTAAAGTGGCTTGGAGATTTGAGGTGGAAGAAACTCCTTTAAAATTTTCAAGAAATAATACTTCCCATACTGTGATTTCTTGGAAGCTCTACAAGATATTCCTGAACAGGGGTTGGTATATGAGAGCGTAACTAAGTCTGGAGTTTGGAACCCTCCTGATGGATTTTTAAAGCTAAATTTTAATTCGGCATTCCATTGCTCCTCAGGCTATGGTGGTGGGCGATTCATTTTAAAAGATTGTCATGGAAGGCCAATAAGAGTGGCAT